CTGGTCATATATGAGTTTTTGGAGGGCTTTTATTTTGTAATGCAACATCAGATCATCCTGAAACTGGCTGGGTGACACCCTGGGGTAGTGAACTGCCAATCTGAATTGAAATTGTTTTGTGGAAACAGGGAGTTTCCTTTTTAGGGCTATCCAAAATTAGACAAAACTGGTCATATATGAGTTTTTGTAGGGCTTTTATTTTGTAATGCAACATCAGATCGTCCTGAAACTGGCTGAGTGACACCATGGGGTAGTGAACTGTCAATTTGAATTGAAATTGTTCTGTGGAAACAGGGAGTTTCCTTTTTAGAGCTATGCAAAATCAAAGACAAAACTGGTCATATATGAGTTTTTGGAGGGCTTTTATTTTGTAATGCATCATCAGATCATCCTGAAACTGGCTGAGTGACACCCTGGGGTAGTGAACTGTCAATCTGAATTGAAATTGTTTTGTGGAAACAAGGAGTTTCCTTTTTAGAGCTATCCAAAATCAGACAAAACTGGTCATATATGAGTTTTTGGAGGGCTTTTATTTTGTAATGCATCATCAGATCATCCTGAAACTGGCTGAGTGACACCCTGGGGTAGTGAACTGTCAATCTGAATTGAAATTAGTCTGTGGAAACAGGGAGTTTCCTTTTTAGAGCTTTTTTTCTTCCAAAAAGTCGTTCAGGTGTAGAAAAATGAATAAACAGCTTGAATGTTAGATTTGTACACGTGGGTGGGAATTAAACGCCCCTTTCTGCTGATTGGTCAGCCGAAGATCAAACCATGCCGTCATCAGTTCTTCCTCAGTATCATGCAGCAGAATAATAGTCCTCTGCTGCTGCAGTAGTACGGATTAATTACCCATTTTATTGCAACTACATTTCATATTTTTCTCATCAAACAGACTAATGAATAGCTCGACACAACTCATACCGGGGCAGAGCCTAGACAGGGCGTTCTTCTGTGTAGGGGGTTCTTAAAGTGATAGGGGGTCCAAGAAATAATTTGCTATAGCCTAAAGTATTTCCAGACTGTAAAGTCGCTTTTTTTATCATGGCCTACTGTGATTTATTCCAAAGTGACTTATATGATGCATTTAACGTCAAATAATATAAATGAAGCCTTTTCAAAGACAAATATTCGTGTTCGTTGTAGACATTACTATCCGTCACAGTGTTGCCAAGTCCGCGGTTTTCCCGTTATTATTGCTAACATAGCGGACTCATCGAAAAATACATTGGCATCATCTGTATTAAAGAGAAACTATTCACTTCATCCGATGTTTAAGTGAATAAAATAGCCTTGACAGCCTTACTTACTGGAGTTCCACAACTATTGACTTCTCTCTCACCGGACTTGTGCGTGTGTAGCCTATAGGTGATGTAAAAGCGGAAAGCAGGCATTTGGACCAAAGCACTGGGAGGCAAGGGAGGGGGAGACATTAAAATTATTATTGCACTGATATGAGGTAGACTTCTCAGAGCCAGAAGTCTACCTCATATCAGTGCAATAATAATTTTAACAAGCTGTTACTTACTATTTATTTATTTTTATATACAATCAATTCTTTCTATTTCATTCTCTTTATTCTCTTGTCTTAGCTTAAATATTTTAATTGTACATCTCCTTGCATCATGTATATTTCTTTTTATGTTCTTTTGTCTATTATGTACCACGCACCTTATGCAGAAGCCCTGCAATTTCGTTGTATCTTGTGTACAATGACAATAAAGCATTCTAATTCTAACTCCAAATGTTTCTAAATTTAAAACGCATTTTTGCCCCGTTTGTGTTGTTTTAATACTTACACAATTATTTACAGTATAAAATATTGTTATTTACAATACACAGCGTGGATTTTAATAATAATTTTAGGGGGGACAACCCTCAGATGGGAATCATCGGAGTGACTTTTCATGTCTTGGTCTGTGAATAAATGCTTTATTTCTGCAGTTGATAATTCATGCCATGATATTACGGTAACATCATACAGATGATGATTTCAATTTTATACAATCAGACATGAACCATATTTTACACAAAAGTTGGATATCTGAGCAGCGTCATAGTGTGGATATTTAATTCAGTGATTTCACTCTTTGTACAGTATTACAGACCTGAGTGTGAGTTGTGTTATTTGTGTAATTTATCTCATATACCTTGGAAATATTTTCAGTTATGGAGCAAAAGCATATGAAAACTATTGGTTAAAGTCCAGTGGTGGAGCCATAGGGGTGTGACATCTGATTGGCCACCCTGGGTGCCACCCCAATAATTAATATGCTACTAATATGCTACTATTTCATTTTCATTTACGTTTTAAAATTCTGTTAGTTTTATTAAGAATTTAAAATGATAATTACAGTTTTAGAGCTCTTTATTGGCGTGACGGTTCACATGCGCTCCCGCATTGCCTCAGTTCAAGCGAAGCAGGAGTGCATTCTATGATTATCATGAAATAAACATCGAATGCACATCCGATCCATGTTAAAAGATACACTCATTGAAAAGATTGAATCAGTTTCAATCGCGTTAAGACAGCAGCTATAAAACATTGTCACATAACTGCAGAATATCCATTCAGTGTTCATAAACTAGCGAGAAAAATGTACACTAGACAGGAGAATTTTGCAAAATAATTACGTTTATTATATATTTACTCATCTCTTTTTATTATAATTAATAATGTAAAGATATAACGTTATTATTAAAAATGGTATAATACTTATATACAAATCAGTTGTTACATTTAACCTCAACAACATGGTTCCCTGTATAGTTAAGTTTAGAAAAATTGAGAAAAAATAACATACTTAATCGCAAGCTTGTTAATTATTCCTGAATAATTCTCACTTCAGGCTGAACTCAAAAGTTGTCAGCCCTGTTTGAAGTAAGTTGAAGTTTTAGGTTTCCTAAACAACATTTACAAAACTCACTGTAGCCTACAAGGTAATGTTAGATCTTTTGCTCCAACCACTGGTTAAATAAGAGAAATAAGTTAAGGCTGATGATACACAGGGCAACTTTTTGAGCAATGTTGCCATCAATGGGCAACCAGGTGAGACACAGGGCCCACGACTGATCTAAATTATCCAGATAGAAATTTACCTACTACTACTCTTAATGGGAAAGTGCCCAAGCAACATTGCTCAAAAAGAAAAAAAGCCCGGCAAAATTGCTCCAAAAGTTGCCCTGTGTATCGTTAGCCTAACATTTGAAGTTACGGTATGTTTAACTAATGTGGGGTAATGTGAAGTATGCAATAATAGGATTTATTCATGCCAGGTTGGAGTAATACACTGATTTTCTTTCTTGGTCTATGGACCCCCTGAATTAGCCTGGGCCACCCCATCTATAAAACTATAGCTCCGCCACTGTTAAAGTCTGATTTTACTCAACATTAACTGTTAACAAAACAGTTAAATAACTCTAACTATTATAGTATAAATATTGTACTCACAGTTGTCCTGATGTGCAGAATATCAGCATGGATGCCACAGAAGAAAGATCAGAAGCTGTTTGTCAGAAATTTACTTGAATTAATCTCATAAAATCTGTCAAAATGTCCATGTTGTAAATAAATGAAGCCTTTACCTTTTTTTTTTGCATTGACATTACTGTGGTTAAATTTTCCCCCATATACTCTATTTATGTACTGTATATTACATTTGTAATATTTTAAAACAGGCTTAAACAGGCGTATGTTAGAAGAGCAATAGTTGCTGTCAGAATAACGGTCATTAACGGATTTAAGGCGGGGCTTAAGAGAGGGACAGTTATTGTCACGAATCAATGCATCAAAATGGCCTTAAATTAGGCTTTCATTATACAATTGATTTTAATTTGGGGTGAAATATGTCCCGGACATGTAAATGATCTCAGACGCAAACAGCTGTACAGTATTCCCAGTCAGCAAATTTCCTTTGGCGCGGATCTGGCCCATATCAACAGCTAAAGTGTGGCCCAGATTAGTTTGTGTTCGCCGGCCCAAAACTGGTCCACATCTTTTTAGCCAGAACTGAACCTAAACAGTGCCATAACCCAACCCAGAGTGAGCCAAATAATAAAAACAGATGTGGCTGATATATGGACCGTATATGGTATTCTTATATGTCTGAGTTCTGTAAAGGGCTGATGGCCCTTATGTGGCCCACATGTGGCTGATAAACCAAATGCCATTATTTAACCATATTTACACCACACCTATTTTTTTTTTATTTAAAATACCCATTACACAGTAAATCTTAAACACACAAGGCGGGGCAGAGAACCACCACGGCGGAGCAGAGGACCACCAGAGCCAGACAGCAGACCACCACGGCGGGGCAGAAGACCACCACGGCGGAGCAGAGGACCACCACGGCGGAGCAGAGGACCACCACGGTGGAGCAGAGGACCACCAGACCCAGACAGACCACCACGGCAGAGCAGAAGGAACAGGAAACCCCCCAGGTGAACCACACCGACCAGGAGACCATGGCGGAGACTGTAACAACGAGAGAGCAGAGACAGACAACACAGACAGAACATTGGGGTTGATAGACAAGGCTGAGCGT